TGGAGAACAGTGTTGAAGTTGCCCAAATTTCGTGAAATTTTGGGGAGTATATCTGCTACATTGAGATTCTTGAATTGGTTCCAAAGATCCAGAATTTGATGGAAGTGTTCCCGTAGCTTTAGCTTCAACACATTTTTGGGAGGATGGATACTGAGGATATGTTCTCTGATGGGAACCAGAACTTTGAGATGTTGGTCTTGGCCAACAAAGGCGAGAGCTGTTTGAATCAGAGTTGCCTTGCAGGCAAGAATGTCTGGGATTGGCAGGTTGGCCTGCACCAAATCAGCATCTGCAAGCCCATCTGGGAGCAGTGAAAGAATGCTGAGCAACTCTTGAGCACCCCAGGTCATCCGGGAGCTGGTATATGACAACATGATGGAAATGTCCAGGCTCGATCTCTGGTCATAACCTTCTGAAAGCATCCAAGTACTCTCTAAATGCCAACGTGCAAGTGCTTGGGCACATCCCTCCGATCCAGCAACACTTGCAATGAGGCTGACTGCCAGTGGAAGATTCCCTGTCAGTTCAAGGAGTTCTGTGATGCTGGCATCATCATGGCTTTCATCAGCAACCTCAATGAAGGTCTGCTGAGCAGCCACATCGGAAAGTGGCTTGAGAGGGGCTAGAAAGGGGCGAGTCCATTTGACTTTTCCAGGTCGCTCAGTGCCTCTCAGGGTGATCTACAGGAAGTTCAATCATTATTGGATAAGCTCACAAACATTACTCACCATGAGGCCCAAGTGGGGGACATCGGTCAGAAGAGATAGAAATTCTTCAACTTCAGAGCGAGCTGAAAGGGCTTCCCATGGGGTTTCCAGATTATCCAAGACCAGAAGGGAAGGGGGAGCATGGGAAAAATAATGTGCAATTCTTTCTGGCAGGTTTAAGCCCTTCTCCAGCCCAATATAATCTGCAACTGTTGCTGCCAGTTCAGTGCAGGTGGGGCTTGAGTGGCATGGAACAAAGTAACGATGTGAATACTTGGCTTCCACTTGTTGATTATGAAGGGCTGAGATGGCTAGACTGGTTTTCCCCATACCGCCTGTACCCAGGATGGCTACATGGGCAGAATTCTGGAGGAGTACATTGACCACATCCTTCAGCTCTGACTCACGGCCATGGAAGATTTTGGGAAATGCTGGGAGCAGACTAAATGATCCTGAACTAATGTGCAAATCAGCCACTGTGGATTATTATGCCCCCCAATAACAGACCTATTGCTGGAACTTGAAAGTGTCCCAATCACCTAAATAAAAATGTAAGCTGGAAAACTGGAGTCTGATTCGGATTGAAACAAACAGAGGAGCGATCCGAGCTGCTAAGGTCTGGATGGGCATTCAGGAGAGCCATAAGCTCATCATGGTGCTGCTTTGCCTCTTTTTTCACATGCCCTATCTGGGAGAGTGTTGAGCCCCCAGCTCTGACCTGAATGAATTTCAGCAAACAAATGGCTCAGGATTCAATGCCATCAGATGTACCCTGAACATTCCGATGACCTTGTTAAGTTCCTGCTTGCATGTCTCCAATTTCCCAGCATTCTCAAGTTGCTTGAATAGTTGCTTGACCTTTCCCATTTTCTGCTGTGCTGTCAGAAAAGTGAAGATCTTCTGCAGTGTTCTGCAAAAATGTGTCACTGTGTGTCATCCAGAAAAATCCAATGACACATACTCAGTGAATTTTGCAATGTCATACATGAGTGCCGTTGGAAGGACCCCTGTAATTTCCGATGTGGAGCACAGGCTTGTGATAGCACACAGGATCTCGTGGATTTGTTCAACCACTATCATCCACTCGTCCCTGTTGGACCTGACAGTCTATATTTATCTTCATGAGCAAGGTATTTTTTACTAACCATGGATCAGATTTACCTCAACACATTCCAAAATTGACAAAGTCAGCGCTGTGGCGGAAGATACGAAGGGGATCTGGAATGATCCAGCAATCTTCTCGAGAGTGTTAGCTGCCACCGTCGTGTACTGGATTAGATTATCGAGCTGTGTAGGCACTTTCATGGTTGGGGATCACGGAACCCAGAGCGAAAACTGAGATACTCTTATCTATACTATGGATGTTGCTGTACCGCAACAGTTCAAGATTGCTGTCAACAGATATGCCGAACTATGCTGCACTGCATGTCAAACTCCAGGCACACGGAGTCAAGGATCCACTTACCGTGATACACTTCAGGGAATATGTGGCCGGCCATAGAGTGCAGCGAGGATGTATATTGGATGAAATATTGGAAATTAACTGCAGTAGGTATGCATTGTCAACAGGAGGGGTGCCGCTTGTTAAGGCTTATATATCTTTTGATGTGTTCCTGCCACAGACATGATTCTACTTATGTGCATTCTCAGCATCATATATGCAGGTTTAAAGATCTATTGATGTTCCGCACCGAAAATAAAGCCTACGTTTCAAATGCAAACAAAGGTAAGAATACTTATGGAATCCCGGTAAACTTCCATTTCATCATTCAAACCATTGGCATCTCACCCTGAATTTAAAAATCGATTGGACAGGGGAGCAAAGGGCAAATATCACTGAGCTGTGCGGGCATCCGCTGATGCTGCACAACATCTGCCGGCTGAGCTTCTTGCGCGAGACGGACTGACAACAGAAGGATCCGATCTCCACTTACTGTGGCACCTGCAGCAGTGCACTGCCTACAACCAGAATAGAAGAGGAGGTGGTTCTCCGAAACCAAAATGAATCTACAACGGTTCAATGATCATCTTTGCGGGACAACCCACCCTCACTGCATCGTTTGGCATCAGAAACCACGGGTGCCGATAGCCACATATGACACGTTCCTCGGAGACAGAGGCGGGAAGTATCTTACGGTACGAGGAACTTCCATCGTTGGACAAATTTGCCCCCGACTCACTGTATCTGTAGCCGATTTTTGCAGCCCGCACACCCCGCACCCTTTCCATAACCATCTCATAAATACACAAGCTTCGTTGATTGCCGTTCTCGGGGTGCACCGCTGCCCCGCCCATTTCAAGAAGCTGCATTCCACGAGCGTGCGTGCGAGATGGGGAGAGGGAGGAAAGGTGTATTGTTATAAACATCAACAGGATAAAGGTGCGCGGGAGTGTAGATGGGCGAGTGAGTAAGATAGATATTGAGTACGAAAAGGAATGAGGAAGTGGGTAAGCTCGAATCATGGATGTGCAAGTCATGATCAGGAAAATACGGGGAAGGACGTAGATGCCACAAAAATGCGAGGGTGCCCATCTCCGCGACAGCAACAAAAATAAAAATGACAGCGTAGCGAAGAACAAATAGAAAATAAGGAAAATTTGAGAATAAATAAACCCGGAAACAACTCACAGGCGAACCGGCTCTCTAAGCCATATACGCTCAACCCTGCTCGTGCGCGACCCGGAAGTTTCCAATTCGTATTGACTGTTGACCCCGTCACCTATCCCTTTTCATTTTATAATTCGTGTTGATTTACTTTCGATTCCAAGTCACCCAAGACATACCTATTGTGTCCCACTCGCTGGATTTTCATTTTCATTTCAGTTCACGCCGACTACTCTTGTTCTTCATTTTGTGTATGCAGAGTGTTCGCATTCATTTCAGTTTCATTTCCATTCAACTTTCTTTTTCATTTTCATTCCTTGCTATTTAAATATACAGCAGTGGTTGAACAATTCACTTTTTAGCTGGTAGGTATTGCAACAAGAAGACAGAATTAATATATATTGGTTTATAAAACAAATGGAAAATTAATTTTAACTATTGAGGAGGATGTAAATAGGAAGATCGAATACCGGCGTTTCAGGCAGATCGGGGTTCGATTCCCTGCCGGTGCATGTATCAATTGGTCCACCCCTCTTTTTTTTTCACATTTTCTGAACAAGTTGCGGAGTCTCGCCCACTTACGCAAATTTAATCCTGCCCACGCCCCTCGATTATCACGACCACTTTGTAATTTATAACGCCCGCTTTGACCGCATCGCCTACTATTAGACGGATTCAACTTGAAGAAATCCACCGACTGTATTCGTAACGGCATTGAATATTGTGTGAATTGCACAATGGGCCACAGTGTAATTTACAGCTGTATAAATCAGAGTCAAGAAGGATGGGACAAAATCCTTATTAGGTCCGGAGGTTGATTCGACTTGAAGAAATCAACCGACTGAAAAATGGAATTGATCATTGTGCGAACCGCACAAGCACATTGTGATTCAGAGCCGTATAAATCACAGTATGGACCAATGTCAATAGGCACCGGCGGTGCATGGTGCATGCTGCCCTTCAATAAAAATTCCAGCTCTGTCGCTCAGGCAGACCGGGGTTCAATCCCTGCCGGCGCATTGCCGCGTGCCTCACAGCTATTCTTTTTCCATTGGCTTCATTCATATCTCCCAGCAAGTCCGTTGCATGCTGCTAGGAGGAGAAAATCCGCTGTAGATGGGATATCCAAATGGTGCCAGAAAATGATTATCCTTGATGTTGAAAATCTGATGGTATTGATTATTTGCCCATGCAATTCAGGGCGGTGTAAAGCAGGGATGAGAATAGAGAGAATAAGCACCGGTGGTGCATGGTGCATTCCTCATTCAATTTCGGGGATTGCACAGCCATGATTGAGGTGGTACGGGGTTCGATTCCCCGCCGGTGCATTCATGGTGGCCACAAAACTGTTTTCCAGCTGTTTTCAAGCCTAGTCCTCAGCACATTTTCGCTTGCTACAGCTGCCTAGATATTTTATCGAGGGGAAACTGATGTGGTTGAAGAAATTGGGCACTACCTAGACCGATGTTGCCAATTGAACTTTAAGACATGGACCTATTAGAAATCACGATGTCCATTGGGTGATTTAAAGTTGTATAAAGCAGAGTCAGGAATAATGGAAATAAGCCCCGGTGGTGCAAGGTGAACACTGCCCCTCAATTTCGCTGCCTCGATCAATTTGTGAATACACAATGGCACACGGTGTGATTTAAGGCTGTATAAATCAAGGTCAGAAAGGATGGATACAAGCACCAGTGGTGTGTGGTGCACGCTGCCATTAAAAATGGCTAATCGGAGACAGGCGTTTCAGGCAGATCGGGGTTCGATTCCCTGCTGGTGCATTCGGAGCCATCAGTGGCTATTTTTCTAGCTTTTTTCACGCATCCTTGGCGTATTTTTGTCTGGTCTCGAGGAACTCGATATTATATCGACTAAATATTGGAAAGTAGATGGTACATCGAGAGCATAATTGGGGGTCGCACTGATGCTGATTCGACTTTGAGAAATTGACCTATTAACATTGAGTGATTTAGAGCTGTATAAATCCTGGTGAAGAAGGATGGGAATACGCACCGGTAGTTCATGGTGCATTCCTCATTCAGTTTTGAGGATACAATAGCCATGATTATGATTGAGGTGGTACGGGGTTCGATTCCCCGCCGGTGCATGTACCCGGTCCACCTCTCTTTTTTTTCCACAATTTCTGAACAAGCTGCAAAGTCTCGCCCACTACGCAAATTTAATCCCGCCTACGCCCTTTGAATTACACCTTCCGCTTTGTAATTTATAACCCCAGCTTTGACCGCACCGCACCCGGCTCCACCCGAGCACCGCCACACGCAGCAGCTTTCTTGTCTCGTTTTCCGCCATGACCTCCTCTGGGCTCTCCCGCCGACGCGCCAATGCCCCGACAACAATGTCCGCATCGTCCCTAGGCCTCCCTCCAACAAGTCTCTCAGCGGCACGGCTACGGCCGACCCGGTCCGGAAAGAGCCCGCCCACCGCTTTCGCCGACCACAGCTGCCAGCAAGCACACATACGGGAACCCTCTGCGCCCGCCTCAACTGCGACTCCCCGTCCCTGCGCGTTTACATTAGATCGCGTGAGCTCGCTCACCAATCGCCGTTACACGGAGCTATTTCCCTTCATGTCGCTCAGGGAGGTGCGTTCTTCCCTTCTTTCACTTGCTTCGCGTACGCTTCGCTTCCAACCGTCGCTCCACTCCAATCATCGCGGCCATGTGCCCACGCTGCCCCGCGCCTACCCAGCCCGCTGCCGCCCTACGCTCCCAACGCTACGCACAACCCTGCCATCAAGCCGCACACGTACCGCAGTCGCGACTTCGCGCCTTGCCTTGCGTGTGCGGCTGGGTTAATACGGAGTGCGGCCAACGCAACTGCTTCGCGGCAGGGCAATCCTGTAGACTCGCAGTGTTGTCAGGGTCAGTGTTTGACTGTCAGAAAAGGTCAGATATCTGACCCGTCAAATGCACTGACCCCATCGTTTGAGGGGTCAATGACAGGTCGATCACCGAGTTCCCACGATTTGGGACGATACAAAAAATTCAAGTGTTTTGTCAGAGTTCAGTGACATCACCGACCGCCTTTTCTCCTCTTTTCACAAAAGTCAGTGACGGGTCAATCAATGACCTTCTGAAAATGGAAATCTGACCATGACCCCTCAAATGACCCCGTCAGACGGGGTCAGTGACAACACTGCCAGTGTAGAGCAAACTCACCGATACCACTGCCGAGCAGCCCCCGATCTCCTCTTCCTCTACACACCAATGGCCCCCGAACCTCCGAAGGAGGAAGAGCCACCAGATCCCGTCGTGCTAGCAGCCCAATTCGAAGCAAATGCTTTATTTGTCCACTTTGAAAGCAGCGGCTGCTGAGTATTCTCTCAAGACGGACCGCCCCCTGCCGCGTGAGTTCTCCACATCCATCGTCTTGTTGCTGTTTGGAGCCGCATTTCAGGTGAGTTTGATAAATGGTTCGACTTTGCGAAACAAAAATCGTGTCTCATTGACGACTGCGATCGGATCCACCGAGACTTTGAACCATTTTACCAACTGGCCCACGACAATCCCTTGTGGTTTCAGCGACGACTTGACGTACTCCTGGATATGGTGGTACGGAGCTAATTTTTCTTTCCCTCCGTCCCCGTGAAGATTAGCCTTCACCGATTAGAAGAACAGCAATCCAAGGGGTATCAGCAAGATGGTGGTAGAGAACGAAAGACTGCAGATCCCGAACAAATTGCCATCGTAGTTTTGGAACTCCTGGCCAAATACCTTTCGACGAGTGAGCCACTATTGGCCTTATATTTTTATGGTTCGTCGCAGGCTAATCTCTTGAGGGCCAGTTCACAGCATCTGTACCAAACATGACCTTCGTCTTAAACGGCCAGGATGAACCACGCGTCGTCTTCAACTACCGTGAACTCGGCGCACATGACAGAGCATTCAATCTGATGGATGAAACCCCATTCCGCATAGCTCCCAATTCCACTTCAGATTTCTTCAACGGTCAAAGCGGATGCAATGTGTTGGCCCGCCCAGACGGATTTACAGAGTCTGCTAATGGCGATATTTCCTGTGAGTAGAACGTCCTCAGCTCACCGGATGGGACTTCCACAAGTTACCCGCTTCAAGCTGCAGTATTTCTCTCAGAAACATCCTGATCTCGCCGACCTTGCGCCCACAATGTTCATATCAAGGCGAGAAGTGTGCCAAGCCTCAATGCGATGAGGCAGCTATCAAGCACGAGTTCAACATCACCGGCGATATAGCTCCGCGCCCAGACGCCTACAAGTACAAGTATCTATCTGCTCGACATTGGACGGCAACACCTTCTCCGGGCGATTCCTCGGCCTGCTTCGTTCTGGATCCTTGGTGTTCAAGGTTCGCTCGACTCTTTTCGCGTAACATTTGCTTTTCTGATTATATTCGCGATCGCGCAGATGACTGCATTGGAGGAGTTCCTCAACGATGGGCTGAGGCCATTCGGGCATTATTTTCCCGTTCTGCCCGCACTGCCCGACCTCGTGGAAAAGATGGCGAGAAGCCACGACACATGGATCCAGGAGAGGGAACCTTGCGTATCATGACAGATGCACAGAACGACTGCTATTGGGTCGCTCTTCTGCTAGAATGGGCACAGCTTCAGGAAATTGGCCGAAATTTCACATTGAACGAACCGTAACTTCAAGTGCTAGTGTATCGTCGGACCCATTTTACTTGTACTTTTAATTGATATTAATGTAATGTAATTCGGTCCATGTAATAATTGATATGCGTCCCGTTGTCCCTGTTGCCGTCCACTTTAATAGTGGTTCGTCGTCATTATGGACTGCAAGGAGGTATTTCTGTATGGCGTCCAATGGAGCACATTTAGCACAACATGTGGAAAAGCGCATCATCTGGGCGCATCGCGGATTTTGCCGGTATGGCGTCCAATGGAGCAAATTTAGCACAACATGTGAAAAAGCGCATCATCTGGGCGCATCGCAGATTTTCCTGGTGTGAGATTAAAACACGCCAATCCCTGCCCAAATTCCAAGTTACCGAGGGCTCTCTGTATCAAGAATAAACTTAACTGGCGAGCAGGCAAATAATAGGTAAAAGCGGGGAAAAAACGAGTCCGCGCCATCTTCGTCACTTCGTTACTTCGCTTAAATTCATCAGTTTGATGGCATTCTATGAAAGTTCGTGAGTTTAAGGAATTTCAACGAAAGTTCGTCACTTTCCCTGTATCGACGTACGGCGTCCCTGTCGGCACATCACAGAATCAGCCGTATGCCGAGCTCGGCCGGTTAGGTTTGAGTTAAGTTGGTTAGGGTTAGAGGTCGGTCGTTAGAGGTTAGTGGTTAGTGTTAGGGGTTTGGGTTAGTGGTTTCGGTTTGGGTTAGCAGTTAGGGTTAGTGGTTAGTGTTGGGGTAAGGTATCTATATGAAAAACCCACCCGGCCTTGTGTTGAGAGAACAATGATGGCCGATGCTCCGGGTTCTTGAACGTGCCGAGTTAAAATGACGAACTTACACAGAAAATCATTGGAAGTAACAAACTTTCCCTAAATGTGCTCAAAGTGACGAGGTTTCGTGAAAATAAGCGAAGTAACGAAGTGACGAAGATGGCTACTACCCGAAAAAATAGTGCGCACTACATTGAGCGAGCCGTAACTTCAAGTGCTAGCATATCGTCGGACAATATGCTTTACTTGGCTGCATCAGTTTTCAAAAGAACGAAATTAATTCGCCAACGTGTGTTCCGGCACTTTGGCACATCTGAAATCAAGTGCGGCACACTGTGCCGCGGATGCCGGAGTTTGAATCGGGGATCCTTGGCAATGAATGATTGACGGCCGTCCTCTCTTTTCCACCATTGCGCGCCGAATTATGCGCGTCAAGCATCACTTCTCGTTGAATCCTCCGGCTTCGAGCATTATAGTGCCGTCTTCACCCATGCGCAACACTGCAGTAGCACCGTTCCCTCGTGCCCCACCTTCCTCTCATGCCCATGTTGTTACCACCTCCTCAGGCCGTTCTCAACCCCGTTAACACCGATTCCGGAGAAGCATCCGTCGACGTCCAAGAAGCGAGTCAAACGAGGCTGACACTGCGAATGTTATCAACGCCCGCGTGCCCGTAAAGCACCGAAACGGCCTCATCTGACGCCGCCCAAAAGATGGTTATTTATTCCTCCTTAGCGCCTTACTTACTTTTAGCAGAATTCAAAACACCTTCGATCGACCGACAGATCGGCGCATGCTGCTGCTGAGTCGAGTTGGAGTGACAAAGTGGCACTGATCAGTCTCGGAATACCTCGGGGACACGCCGAACATGCATGTACATGTAATGAATCAATTTTTTTCTTTTTGAAAACTGGCGCAACCAAAGATTTTCTGCCACATTGAATCTTGTGTAACTTTGTACTTGTTGTTCCGCGGATGACGCTGAACACGCCGCACAAGCACGCACTCACCTTTCGCTTCTAACCACCATGGACCCTAACTGCATTCCTGCCAACCCAGACATCTCTGGGATTGGAGTTCGTACAGCGATCTATGCCCAAAACCTTCTATGTTTTCTGCCAGTCGTGGCGCAGCTTCGGAATGGAACAGTCTCCGACGAGGAGATGAAAGGCGTCAAGGACCAGTCCATCGGCATGCTCGCCGTCGCCTTCGCCATTCTCATCTCCACCATCATCCAGGCCACCACTGCTGTCGACGGGCAGCAGATAACCGGCTTTCATGCTGCCATCATCCTCGATTTGAGCTGGATGAACAATACCAGCACTTGGATCTGGTTTCTGCTATATGCCCACTATCTTAGCAAGGCCAAC